AGGACTTAAGGTCGTACTTAGATAAGTACACCATGAAGAGTCTCACAAATTTATTGTTTCAATGATATTTACGATGTATTATTAACTCGTGGTTGCTAACCCTGGTACATTGTATTTTACCCATGTTAATGCAAACCCGGTATGATGTATTATTACCCTGTGATTGCTAACCCTAGTAATCTGTATTGTACCTTTGTTAATGCAAACCCGGTATGATGTATTATTACCCCGTGATTGTTAACCCTGGTACTCTGTATTGTACCTTTGTTAATGCAAACCTGGTATGATGTATTATTACCCCGTGATTGCTAAACCTAGTACTATGTATTGTACCTTTGTTAATGCAAAGCCGGTATGATGTGTTATTACCTATTTAATATGTTATTCATATATTAAAGGTATTATACATATCCTGATATAGTTAAATGAATTTTGGTAATTTCCTTGGAAAGTATACAATCGTGAATCATACTTGTATATTTAGTTTTGAATCATAAATTATACCTATTATAATTTATATGTTCTATCTGATTAGCATGATTTCTCATGGATGAACACCTTTGGTCAGCATGATACAAAGGTAATGATACCGAATGGAGTAACCTTTTATATTCATATATGTATAATATATATATATATATATATATATATATATATATATATATATATATATATATATATATATATATATATATATATATAATTAAGAAGGAAACAACTTTGGACAAATAACACCACCTTAATTCCACATCCAAACAAGGAAAAAGAAATAAGATAATCCATTAGTCATAAGCCCTTCAAATCTTATTTATATATTTATACATATATAAACCTGATTTTGGCAGTTATAATTTGAAATAGTTTATAAAATCATTTTCAAAGAATTTAACAGAGTTTACATGACTTCAAAGATTTAACATGGCTTTAAGTCATTTTGGAAGTATTTGGTAATCCTTAAAAGCATAGGGAAACCCTTTATGTGATTATTATCACATACAATTTATTAACACAATTTATATTGTCTTAAACTTGTATTCCCCCCTAAAAAGCATTTAAAAACCATTAAAAATGTAAATTATAGGGGTATGAACTCACTTGATAAGTGGTGATTTGGGCAGCGTTTCGTTTCTATAGATGATCTTTTTCGAAGAAACCGCGAGTATTTGAGTAAAAACCGAGCTTTAAGCAGGCAACACTTCGTCTGGAAAGAGGTTAACTTCTCGAGAATTCTAGTGCTTCGGGGCTTGCTTCGGGTTTTAGATACGATACTGGGGCCTTGGGGGGTCATAAGAAAGTTTAGGGGGTGAAAAGGTGAAAAAGGGTGAATTTTGGGGTGAAAAACCTCTCAAATCCGAGAAGTGTTGCACCCTTTATATAGGGGTGCGAGGGTTCAGTTCGAAGAGGGGTCACCAGACACGTGTCAGTCATGCGAAGGTACACGGGGCGAGGCTTCGGACGTGGAGGCTTCTGAGTGGACCGGACTTCGATCCAATGGGGAGATGCCACGAGGGTCTGAGGGGTGTCCGAGGGGTGTCTCCTGCGAGGCTACCTACTGCTTACTAGACCTCAGTTGCGGTCCAATCAAAGGTGACACGTGGAGGCTCGCATGCGAGGGTGACGTGGCAGAAGGGTGACTATGCGATTTTTCTCGGTTGTTGCGCCAATAACTTGTAAAATTCATAACTTTTGCATACGAACTCTGTTTCTAACTTTTTTTATATGCACGCGTAGGTAAAATTATACTCTACGACTTTCGTTAAGACTTCGTCGGCTAATTTTGAATTTATTTCTAATAATATTATTTTTAACAGACCGGGACAGGAAAATCCGTTAAAAATTCATGACTTCTTCATCTGACGTCCGCTTTTTTGCTGTCTTTTTACCGTTGTACTACTAATGATGACATCTTCATTTTTCGTTTAGGTTGTGTCGGCTAAAAATCACTCGATCTTTATTTCGAGTTTTTAGCTGTACATTGCTATGCTTAAACTTAGAAAAATCATAACTTCCTCATACGAAGTCAGATTTTGGCATTCTTTTTATGAAAGTTCTCGGTTTAACATAAGCTACAACTTTGATTTAGATTGTTAAGGCTAAAAAGCCTTTTATTGAAAATTCAGGTTTTACACTGAACAATGTTTTGCCGGTTTTGTCGCGGATTTTCGATTAGTCATAACCTCTTCGTTATAACTCGGATTTCAGTGTTCTTTATATTTTTAGAAACCTTGTTACAATCTATACCACTTGCTTCATCCCAATCATGATTATTGATCAATTTATTTTTGACCTAAAATTGACCGGTGTCACATGCAAGAATAAACAAAACGTTTTCATTTGTTATATGAGTTTTTTTGTACCTAGAAAAGTCTAAAACTCCAAATGCACAAGGTAAATATTTGAATTTTTTTATATGAATGGTATTTTATGTGTGTTTAGTATTTTGGTTAATCCTTTTTTTGTTGATGCTTGACCGGAAGGTTCTAATTAAGAATCGGACCCAAAGTCTTTCTCTCACTGATTTGTTCAATTGCTTTTAATTAATTTGACCAGTTACACTTTATTTTTGTTTCCATTATTTCCAGGAAACGACCTGGAATTTTTTTTAGCTTTTGTCAAAATTGGGTGATCACGTCAGACAACCCAACTTGTGGTAAATGATTTTTGATCTTATAAGTATTCTAATTGTTCGTATGGATTTCGTTAGTTGTTTCGAAAAAGATATTATTGATTTGGCATATCTTTTTACATTTACACTCTTCAAGTCTTTTTTTTTGTTCTCTCAGTTTATAAATGTTGATGTTTGATCTTACAGTTTATAAATGTTGATGTTTGATTTTATGTGGTCAACGGCTGGGATAATGGCAATGGATCTTGATCTTAAGTTTAGTAGCTGCAAGGTCGTACTGATAAAAAGTTTACACAAGCTCAATTAGATGTAGGTTTACATGTCTTTTTTTAAACCCTCACTAGATTTACGCATATTTTGATGTTTGTTTTCTGATTTTGTAGCTGATTAATGAGTAGCCCCACATTATACAAGAGTTTGAATTTAGAAAAGCTTTTACAATGTTCATAGATTATACAAGATTGGAAGGAAACATGCATCATATGCAATTAAAAATGGTACTAGATGCAATTTCATTTATCAGACTCATTTCTCTTTCATCAATATTCATAGATTTAAGTGTGTTTTGTAGTTATCTCAATACTCCGACCAATGTTTAAATCAAAATAAAATATACAATAATTTTGTGTTAATTTCATCTTCCAATCATGTACCTTTTTTGACAAATTTCTGAAGTTTTTTAGTTTTTTGCATTGTATAGAATACTTTTCTCTAATTTTTATGACTTTTAAATTGAATATGATTTATATAATTTACATATATAGTCCATGTTTTAATATATTAATTGCCTTAAATTGTCCTTGTTTCATAGTTTTTCTCAAAAAAAAAAAATCAGTTGAAAATTTACAATTAATTAAATTTTTTCACAGCATACTGTTATAACACTAATGATTTTCCAATTAATTTGTACACATACTATACCTTATGTTAATATTTTCTTTATATAACATATTTTATAAAATTGTATTTTTTATTTGATACTTAAGAAAATGAAAGCGTTGAACTCAAATTTAAAAATTAAATAAGCAATATATAAATATCTTAATTATTTATTTATTTTTGAGTTTAATATACATTTATATATACATTATTATTTACAAAATAAATTTTTACTATCATGTTTTTAATGAACTACTTAAATAAAATTTTATAAATCTTTGATTTTTTATTATCATTTTAATCATCAATATTATTTTTCTTTGTTACCCATAGTTTCCACATGTTGTAACCCAGTATATATATATATATATATATATATATATATATATATATATATATATATATATATATATATATATATATATATATATATATATATCTTTGACTGAAATAATCCTCACTTCTACACTTCTAGCCGTAAACTCAAGCTTTTTCCCTCAAGATCTTCAACCGAAAACCCCTAGTTTTCTCTCAACTATCATTCGAGGATCATTCGATTCACCTTCAGATCTTGATAAGAGCATCTAGTGTTCTTATTTTCAATGATCAAACACCCTTCAGTTCTAGGTTTACAGCCGAGATGACAAATGTTGTTACCAGTTTTGATGCCTGAAAAACGTTGTTATCAGGCAGACAAGGTTAGTATGGTTATGAGAATTCAAAGGGAGAAAACCCCAACCTATTTACATGTAATATATATAACTTCAATTGATTAAAAATCTTATAGTCGATTTACAAGACAGCAAACTTACTTCAGTGGTGTTATTTTAAACAATACAACTGAAAGTTATAATTTTCCATTATCTACACATAGAAAGGTTCATACATGAACAAGCATTCTGTTTTTCTAGTAAGGATAATATACTTTTATGGAAAACATACATTATACAATTACAAGAGAACAAACATACATTTACACTGTTATAGAGAACAAACATACATTTACACTGTTACAGAGAACAAAAGATACAAACATTTGAGTCTTAGGGTTGAAGACTACTTTTCGTTTATTATAGAAAATATAGGATTTTCTAGAGAAGATATACTAACACTTTTATAGATCAAATACAAACATTTTTCATGAAACAACTACAAACATTAAATACTAAATACTTATGAACTCACCAACATAAATGTTGATACTAGCTTTTAAAATAACTTGTATTCTCGGGAAATCAGTACACAGGTATGCTAGCAGAGGTTTCGAGAAGACCAAGCATGTTCCAGACTCGTCTTTTGTTTTGCTATACTTTTAGTGTCATACAACTATATATTGAACACATGTATTAACTATATAATTAATGCAATGGATTTTGTTGCTTGTTTTAATATTCTACATTTGTTGTGATATTGTACATGACGTCATCCACCCCCGGACGTTTCCGCCGTTCTGGTTTGGGTGTGTGACAGATTGGTATCATAGCATTGTTTATAATGAACTATGTATATCAAACCATAAAAGATATACAACTATAAACACATCGGGATTAAAACACTTTGACCAAGTTATTATAATTTTTATATAATAAAGTATCTTATATAAGT